ATTTGTTTCAATATGAGTCAACCATATCACACAGAAGTTGCTATTCTGAATGCATTCATTTTTTATTGTTCTTTCTTAGTTTTTAGAGTTGAAATAAATAACATTCCTTAAAAACGCCATACGTGACCAGAAAACCAAGAGAGCGAAAAGGAGAGAAAAATTGCATCCATGCAAACAGTTGCACCACCCTATACGGGGCAGTTAAATCAAGTATCCGTCACCAGTAAGCACCAATAAGAAGTCGACTGAATGTTAATTGTAAGCATAATGACTCTGACCCCATAAAGAAAATTCAGACACATCTGAGATTTAAGACAGTAAGCTAATAATCAGTCTGACATCGAAGAAATGAAAACACGGCCGTGCAATGAAGCTGATCCTCTAACCAATCGTACACATGCACTTGGTGATTATTGGAGAAATTAGTTCACGGTTGGTGCTTAATTGAATCGTTCATTAGCCTTTTCACACCTTGCACGCTGCGCGTCCGCCATGATAAATAGGTCCAAATGTTCCGCAAGTCAATGACGTAAGAAAACGCGCCAATAGTACCACTAGATTCGTCTCGAAATGAGGTTTAACGAGATACAAATTGACCGTTTAGACTAAATGGTTTCAGAAAAGCTTTGCCATGTTATTACTCGACTTTATCATAACACCATAAAAAGATTTCAGCTTAAGTATACATTCGTGTCATGGTGTTAATCGTTAATTTTATTTTTAATTGAGTTATAACACATCAAAGTATATTGACATTTTATGACGAAAGCTATCATAATTTCATTATCATCACCCGAAGTGTATATTATATTACACATTTGCATATAATCATTTAGTCGAGTTAAATAAGTTAATTCGACAGTAGCTATTTCAATAAAATAGTTCTTGGGCGAAGTTATATTTAATATTGATTGCTCGTAGTTATATAAAATTCTAAAAGGCATAAGTTAAAATGTCTGAAGATAATTTTGCGAATTTTGAAAAAGCATGCAAAATTCGGCAAACATATTGGTTGGAAATAAAATGAAATTGATAAATCGTTAGATATGGTTATGTTTTGTTCATATCTATTATTAGAAGGTCAGATAATAACAATGAGATCAAAGTGACAGCAAAAAACGGTTTTCAGAACTCAAAGTATAGGCATAAATAGCACATTTGATTAATTAATCCTTATGTATTCACGATAAGAAGTGTGTTATGCGTGCCATTAATGCACATGTGAATTTTAACGGAGATGCATTACTTAATCAATGGCTAACCTAAGAATATATTTAAGAGAGTTTAACAAATAACACAGAAGCTATACCAATATAACATGTTTCCCTTGTATGATGCAGCGATTAAATAAATGTAATTTTCATTTTATATTTCATTAATTAATATTCATTAGTTTTCATTTCCATGTTAACACACTTGAAGACGTATGTGATGATATTATATCTATTGTGATGGATTTCTTCACATAAAATATATTCACTGTGAAAAACTATTGTTTCAGACGAGATATGTGTTTACGTTGTGTTTATTTTCTCGCGCTATAACGAGGAGATACATTGTTTGCTTGGAAGAAAGGGGTAGGGAAAATAAACAAAGTGATGTTGAGAGATAAGAAGCTGTTTACGAAACAGACAACACCGATACGCCGACAGAGGCTTGGACACTTTTCGTGATACCTATAGCTTCAGTTGGCTTTCATAAAAGGCCTGGCAGACTTATGAAAGAAAGGAGAATATGTTTGTACAGGATCCCACCAACGTGACTGCAGTGAGGAGAAGAAGAAGAAGAAGAAGAAAAGGAGGAAGGCTATGAAGAAGATGAAAAAGAAGAAGAATATTATTCCTCAGTTCATGAAGTGACTGCAGAGAGAAGAAGAAGAAGAAGACGACGATGAAAAAGAAGAATTCGTCGTTTTATTCCTCAGTTCATGAAGTTGGCCTTACACAGAAAAGTCTTTTTTTCAGTCAATGAAGATTTTTTTTACTTTTCGAGTGGTGTTAATATGTCAACATACACCAATATAATTTCGGATATTAATAGTCTACCATGCTAACTCATAAGACAGAAGAGGTGTCCATCTCACAAATACATAATGCAATACTGATATATACATTGCACGATATAGACTGATATGTAATGTTGTATGCTTTGAGCATGCCTTAGGGTGTGGAAGGGGCGCATTATAAATATGCATTTATTATTATTATTATTATTGTATACATGCATGTGTATGCTAATCCACTCCTTGTTTAGAGGCAGAATGACACAAAGACTGCTCATTTTAAAATATATAATTCATTAAGTTATAAATATTTTTCATAGTAGCTTTATATAAATTATTATCATTTCAAAACGTACCTGAATAGTATGAAATAATATCGTTTCATAAAATATATTGTCAAACATAAACTTTGTGGGAATTGGTTACAATACAGTTTCAGTGATGATAAACATATATGACTAACATTTTGAAGCAACCTTTCAAAAAAGAACAGCTGTCTTACACAGTATATGTGACACACTTATTCAAACCAGTTTAAAATACAATCTCTTCAATTATCTTAGTGACTATCTCGATTTTGGAAGGTTTCCATGTAAATCGTCATGGCGAAGAATAACTATTAATTGCATAAATAAATCTGAAACTGAACGATGGGTTTCTCAAGTGGGTGTAAGGCAAGATATGAAGATATCGCCTGACCCACAATTTCTTTGGTGTACATAGATTGTATTGTTTGATGTATTTTTACCCACAGTTTAAAGATATATTACAGTTTTGTGTACAAATCAGCTCAAGGGGAAAATTCTCAAAATATTGTGAACTCTGCAAAAGATATTGTAATGATTATGACTGCCATATAATTCTACACTGTGAACACTATATGTACAACAGAAATAATTTCTTTTCAAAACTTATAGATCTCTTTGATGTGGATGTTTATGTACAAATAGAATTATTATCTGAAGATGAAATGTTATCACTATTTTCTGGGGGTGAACTACTAGTTACTAACGATATTGATGAAATGTCATGGAGATGTATGATTGTCCTCTTCTGTAAATACCTATATTCCTTGCTTCCCTCACTAAACTGTGCATTCTAGACCTTTCATTTTTCTTTGTACATGTATATATGACTATATGAATGTGTTGTGAATATATTGCTGTGATTATGTAGCTGTAAATATTTCATGTACATGTTTATAATGATCTTCGGACTACAATCTGGAGGAAATAAAGAGATTCATTCATTCATTCATTCATTATATGACTAATATTTTGAATTGCATTTGAGTTGCCGATGTAAAGTATTTCACCTCGATGGCTTAGCCGTTAATAGTTACTGCATTCTTCCTTTTTATATGGAATTTGCCTAAAGTACAACCAATTATATATTTGGTGCATTTTCAGTTTAAATGTTAATGCAGGTATAATACTTTAGATATTATTAACTGTTAATCAGCGTAAACGGATTCAACATTAATTAAACCTTGATAGCGTTGCAAACCGAATTCACACATTAAGTGTCCATTAGATATAATGTACAGACATCTGAAATTAATTAAAAGTTTTAGAATTGAATAAATAGAAGTAATAGCCCTATCCACAACAGTTATAACAGCTAACAGAGTCCTTGTACTATTCCGACTATATCCCAATTGTCTTTTGTGAATCAACTAGTTATGTGAATATCTTAATTATGTGTAATTGTATACGTGTAATGGTATATTTCGATTTAAAAATCACAGATAATTATACTGTAAATCGGTGTTTACTATTTTTATGTTACGGGATTATAATTATTTTACATACAACTCACGTAAAATAGAATGTTGCAAAATTAAGCGCTCTCCTTATTAGTTACATTTGAAATTCTTTTAATTAAATTATTGAGCGGTTTTATAACCATTTTAAGTGGATTATAAAAATTCCAGCCACATATCTCCCATGTTAAATATCCACCTATATGTAAGTCTTGATGTCAGTTCAATTACCATGCTCAATTTCCAGATGATCCTGCCACAAATGTTGATGCCAATAAATCTAATTGACTTGTGAATATTTGTTAATTATCTCTGCTAGATTTTCTACATATCTCCTTCATCTTGCTACTATTATAGGTATCCAGTAGCTATGCAGATCCCAGGAGAGCTTCACGAATGTTCCGCCCAGCACCTTGGCACTATCAGGCTCTGATCTACATCTCCCCTGCTGATTGGCTGTCTGCTTCGGGGGTAACTGTCAATCATTCACGGTCAGCTGACAGCACTATGACGTAACGACACCTGACAAGGGGCGTTGCTGGGTTACGAAGCGGTTTTATCTACGTCCTCAGAGTATGCAAATTCTAATCTAAGGTTTTGATAATTTGCTATAAAAATTTCCATCTGCAATGAAAAAGAAATTAACCCTCTCAATAACAAGTGCACTGGTTATTTGGCGTTAACAGTCAAGTGCCTGTTTACAATGCACGGAAAAGTGTTAATGCATGTTTGCGATATCCAAATTTGTCGTTGGAACATAAATATCCGTATTAGTTGTTCAGGGAGAAGGTAGCACAACACACTGTAAAATACGTACTTAAATTTTCCTATTGCAAAGAAGGAACAGTAAATGATAATTTTGTAACATTTTAACTCTTAAATGTTAGTTCCACAGCCTAAACACATGTATCCATCTTGTTGGGAAGCTAAGCGTTTATGTGAGAAAGTTAAGCTGAAGAAGCTACTTTTAGATTTAATGGATTGAGCAGTCGAGTTATCAAATATTTAAGAATTAAGTACACATATTGACAAAATTATTAAATATAGTTTTAGATAATGTAATTATTCTCATTGTTATGTCAGCTGAAGAAATATGCAGACACAAGTGAAAGTGTGTATTTTAGCAGAATAGGTAAAATTGGACAATATTTGATGACTTTTGTGACAATTTCTATTATCATTGGAGCTAAAAATTCACGAATTTCACCAACGTACGTATCAGACATAATATAAAACTGAGTCTGATATTTGATGCGAATCTTATAACATGTAATATGTTCTGTACATCATACAGTAATAATTTCCCAGTAAAATGTTGAATATGTATATTTGCAGTGTGGTACACAGGAACATTCAAGTGTTCTTTTAATATATTCTAGTTTTCATCACCAGCTTTAAATAGCGCTGTGGCGATGAAAACTTGAAAATAATAAAGGAACGCTTGTGTTCCTTTATTTGTTTCTCGACGGATATTCAAATGAAGCTCTAATGACCAATTTTTTAAATACACCTTCAAGCTTCACAGTTTCATAATGACGTGTTTAGAAACACATTTAATGGTATCACATATAACCACATGTAGCATAATGCATTGTTGTTTGCATTAAGAAAGATATTATGATTGATACAGAAAAGCTGTTTATTCTGTTTAAAAATATCCGTGTGTACATACTTCAGACGTAACCAACAAAGAACGGTAGAAACTGTTAGATGTTTCTTCAAATTTGAGTTGTATATATCTGAATGATCTTGGTTTTGAAAGTATCATCAATTAAAATCTTCTGCTCAAGATGCTTACATAAGACATTCACTATACAGGCGTGTATCATGCAGACAGTGTAAATGAAAAGGATACTAATGTTTATGCAAAGATATTACATGTATACGAACATATCGTCTTTATGTACGTGTTCTGTACGGTTTCGTGACATGGTTTGCATAAAATATGACCAAGAAGTATTTGTCAAGTTTGTTTTTTATTTGTTTTCTGTTTGAACTGCCGAATACTGGTATGCTTGCATTCGTACTAAATATCCATCCATTGGTGTTCCGGGTTATAATAGATCCACACCAACCTTTACTCGTCCTACGAGGTGACAAATTGGACATCGGGTTTGTCAAGTTAGTTAATTCATAGCATATCAACGAGAGTTGTTGATACTATCAATCACAAGTTTGTGTTATCCAGACTAGATGTTTGTCGACGTTGTATATATGGAATGTTACAAAACACAGCGTTGGACAACAAACAGCTTCAAACAGTTCAGCGCCTCTTGGTGATATAGTTTGAATTTCCAACATTTAAAGCGTAGCAGCATCTTCAACGTGTTATATGGATTCATTGTAGAAATACTTCCGAGACTTTAAACGAAAGGGACCTTAAGAGCTGGATTTAATCCTTGATTAAAACCACGATACTACAGTAGTAGGTCACAATGGTTAAGATGAAGAAACTCGCAAATCAAGCCTCGTTTTGAGTGTCTGAATCAAACAAAGGATTTGTTTCATCTGAGTGTTTCATTTCAATTCGAAAAGGATAATTTTGTCCCACTGCATATCAGGATCAGTGATGTACATCACCACACAATGACACAAGCGATGAAACTGTTTCCATAGCTGAAAGTAATCATATGAAAACTCCACACAACTTCCACAACTACGATATAATCTTGCATATATAGTCTTGAAAATTTAGACGAACTTTTCAGATTTATTAAGTCTTATCATTCCATGTCTTCATATTGCACCTGTCTGTTCAAAATGCTCACAAAAGCACATTTCAATTATCTCATATATGAACATTTCTTAAATTTATTTACAGGAGGTCATGAGGTTTCGAACGTTCTTTTAAAGAATTCTATTGACATATTTGTGTCATTTTGTTTTTCAGTATTTACACAGAATATATGTTTCAGTATATTGTATACTCTGCGAATATGCGACCACCTGGTATTTTCACTATTAGATTGTGTTTTTGTAAACAAACTATTAAAGAATAGTCGGAAAATGACAATGGTGTGTGCTTTATCCAGAGATTCCTTTTGATTACGGCAAAGGTTTTGTCCTTTGTAGTTTTATACACATCTTAAAATAATTGATATATCGAGTCAATCTTAACCAAAACTGATTAAGAACGAAAACTCGTATATTCATATTTAACCATAGAAATGTTCGTATTTTTATTACAGATGATCCGATCCGACACAAATTTGCCCCCTTTAAAAGACATTTTTGAAACAGTTTACATCAAACCAAATATCATACTCCCCATTTAAAGATGCCGTCCCTAGTTAGTGGATTTGTAACCACGATAATTTGTTGTATCCACAGGTCTATCATATATAAATGTCTCCTAAACCATTGCATTTATAGTCAGTCTCCGCAACGCTCTCTCAACTGTAGGCGTGTTTCGCTGCCCACTATTTACGGAGGAATCTTTCCTAACGAGATGGATGATGAAATATGGCTTCCTACAACGAAATATTTGAGATAAGTTCCACACTGACTTTGAAACTTATCTTGCTCATCTGTGGAATCTTGACAATACGGTAATTTATTTCCTATAATGTAACGAAACCCGTGTACATTCACTATGTTACATCTTCATTTTCAATGGGAATGGGCGAGGGTGTATAGTGCGAATTAAATTGGGGGAACTGCATTTCTTATTTAACGATTTATTTAACAAATTAAAATGTAAATTGAAATGACATATATTGCAGAGAAGGCGGGATGCTGGGAGATTTAAATTCTGATTGTAACTAAGAAGTTGCGTAAATTCGAAAACACCGCCTCCTTATTTTTTCGTAATTGCTACGAATCAAAATTAAAATGTAATATATCTGACTGTGTAATGTATTGTCACTTTAATAAGAAGCAAAGTCATGATGTCAATACACAGGCACACTGTTTTTAACCATTCTGTCGGGTTATGTCTGTCTTGGGCGATTAGAATGATTTATTGTTTAAAAAAACCAGAACAGAAATTCTTCTCCTATCAACTATTTCTACGAGCTTTGTCAAAATGCGACTTTTACATTTCTTTGAGAGTGCTTTGGAGTATATTTTGGGTTCATTCGTTACAAATACTTTATGCTTTCTCAGTACAAGAATATTTCTTTGGGGAATATCATTGAAAGCTAAAACGTAGCACTTAGTATTATAGACCTCACTTGACGAATATCATTTGTTTGAAACTCCATAGATTTATAAAAAAAACACGTTCCTAGAAATGAAATGTAACAGCAATTTGTTAAGACTTACTAAATAAAATAGTATCAAAACATAATTTGATATATTAACAGAATAAAATATGTACATTACTATATTCTCCATTGTGTTTACTGGCTAGAATAGTAATCTTATTACTGGTAAACAAAACACGACTGTTTGAAATGCACAATGGCATAAACAAAACTAAAAGGAATAACTAATTTAAAATATACTTATCTTAATGTTTCTTCCATGATGTTTATCATTCATACCATATATAGCCATAAAACTGTTTTTATAAACATGTGTTTTTATTTCTTTAAAAAATGAAATTCACACTAATGGACGTGATGTGTATATGGGCACTTGTCGATGTACGAAGTGTGGTCGTTGAAATCAGCACCTCAATAAAGATATGTGGATCAGCGCGCACCTGCTCTGTTGCAATAAAACTGATAGAACGGGTAATCCCGCACCGAATTGGAATGCAATATCGGGACGATTCATGATACGGGTGCACATCAGATTTTTTTTTACGTTTTTTGTTTCTCAGACATCAAAGCAAGGGTTTGTGTCTATTTTGAAAATATCTGAAATGGGAACCCCGAAGACAAATTAATCCAGTTTAGATTATGCCTTCGAATATATGGAGTAAGATCTTATGTGTAATTACATTAAAAGTAAGTGGTTACCATGGCGACATCTAATCATGATTTGCAGCCTTACTTGAAATAGGATACCAAAACATTCACTTGTTGAAAACCAGGCAATAAAAGTTTACCTTAAAACATCGAACAAAATTTCTTTAGACTATACATCTGTTTACATTAAATTAATTTACCGAAACTGACTCGCCTGTCGACATGAGAAGAAGTTCATGACAACTTCCGTTGATAAACTCATTCCTTTTAGAGTCTGTAACTGGGTCAGTATCAAAACATTCCTCAAAACATAATTCCTCAAAAGTTTTCACGGTTAATATGCTGCAAGTTTCAAAATGAATTTTTATTACTCTTTTCTCAAACATTATGAAACAACCTTGTTGTCAGTTGATGTCATTTGTTCAAAATTGAAATTCAAACCGTTAACCCCAAAGGATGTGAATTCGTTAATTTATTTCAGTGCTCATAACCTTCCCTGAACGCCTTTCCTTCTCGGAAGCAATTGTTGATGTTTGTTTTTTATCAGTTACATACCTTTTGGTTTGTTTTCTTTCTTGTCTAGCTCCGGTGTTATACATGTCGTTACTTGCGTCGAAGGGTTACACATAGAATTATACGAGTCCGTTCCCCCTGTCGTGTCGAACGCGCCCCTCCCCGACTGAGGGGGAGAGGGGTATGATGGGGATAATGTGGAGGTATTGATTGAATAGTCTTTTGATGAGGACATAGAAAGGTAGGACCCTTGTGATCTGTTCATCTGTCGGTCTGAGTTGAGACTGTGGGGTGAATAGGCACCATGTACCAGTCCCCAGTCATTGGAATATGTCCCATACCCAAGATTACCAGAGTTCATTCCTACGCCACTGTGCATGCAGTCAAACGGACTTGGCCTCTGAAGATACCGTCCCATGCTATAGTTGCAGGACGAGGTGGCCATCCCTGGAACACTTGTCCTTGCGCCTATCCGTTCTGGTCCTTCCATCGGATACCCTGGGTGAATAACTAACGTTGCCTCTAGCAAAGTTCCAAAATGTGATGGATCCTTTTTGGAATGGTTGTCAACGTGGGCTAGTAGCCGTGGCTTGCCCTGTTATATCCCACAAGTAAAGTAACGTCGGTAGAAAGACGGAGTCTCGCGTTAGCAAGAAAAACACTCTTCCAGCTGTGAGCCGAGTCGTGATACACACCAGCACTGACAAGCCATCGTAGTGCGGAAGAATATCTCTTACAGAGGTTGTGAAGCGTCCCGTCAGCGCCTCTAGGACACGGAAGTGATGAAGGCTAATCCCTTGCGCCCCATACTCCCCCTCCACGGCACCCCTCCCCGTGCATCTCAGACGCTGGTCCCTCCTCCAATTTCTAGTCATTAAAAGTGTCAAGTAACGGTGTAATGTTATTACCAGATTTCTCCCCCTTCGCTTCGACCACCATAAAATCACGACCTATTGTTTTCTCAGCACAATCTTCAGCTCACGTTTGTATCTTCACACAATCTAACTCACGTTTGCGTGTTTCCATATGTCGAATGTTTACTGAAATAGGTCACTTTTCTATTTGTATAATGGGTACATGGAATATGCTTCAGACAATACTGTCTTTATAAAACAAGTGAAACACATATCATATATATGTTGATGTAGACAGAAGAATTGAATATTAACATAATGGTTTGCATAATGGTGAGCAAGGAATGACAATGGAAAATGCAAATATAAAAATGAGTATTATAGAACTATTCCCTTTGCTGAAGGCGAGCAAGAAGAAATACAAACACATATGAGTTAGTAATAGTTCGAGAAAACACAGTATATGTATATTTAGAATATAACTGTCCGTCCCAGTACAATAGACTACGTTTATATCGAACGCACTCGTAGTTAACTTACGGATATAACGAACTTTTGTCTTGATCCTGGCCACTTGCTGTTTACTTTAGTAGAAATGCGTATAACGAACTACGGTTGTAACGAACAACAATTAGTGGTCCCTTTAAGTTCGCAATAACATTAACTTACTGTACTTACAAGTTAAACTAAAGCCACGTTCCTTTCAATCGTGAAGACGTGAAAAAAATGTGCATATTTTGGTATAAGGACCTATAAAAGAAGAACAATATCTCTGTCAGTAAAGGTAAAATTGCAAGCAGACCAATTCTTTCCACGTTCATAAGAAATCTCAACCAAAATTAATGCAGAGTTAGTTGTATAATTCCGACTATAAACTAACACCATAGAGCTTCAGAACCTGGGGAAATCTAGACTTGCTAGGACTTGCTAGGGCTTTAGCATTGCAGAGAGGGCTAGGCAGTAGGGTAAATAATGTGGTTCAGGGACTGCGAGACAGACTATTCCGACTATCTCAGGACCATGAGTCCCCGATAGGTGTTCATGAAGTGAGCAGACACAAAACCAAATACACATCAATGTAAAGACACATTTAATTTTAAATTATTTTAATTTCAAAATTTAGATATTTTATTACATAAGTACGCATATTGGATTTAGAATTGTGTACTATTACAATATAAGATGAAACACCGCTCTGTTTCTGCTGGTATAGTCGTTAAGAAAAATAAGGGAGGTATTAGGTACAGGTGTGTGTAATAAGAGTTTCGATGCACTATTGACCATTAAAACTTTTCTCAATCATAATCTGTGAAAAAAGCGACTGAATACTTTCCACATCCATGTGTAATTCTGACTAAATTATAAGCATGTGGGTTTTTTTTGTGTTTGTTGTTGTTTTTTTTTGGTGTTTTTGTTTGTTTAACGTTAAACTGTCGGTAACTAACCGGATCAGACAATCCACTGATTGGCATAATAACTCACACTTTACTTGAAAATAAATATGTGATGCAATAGATAAATCGTCGTTCAAAAACCACAGGCTTACTTGCAGGTTTTTTTCACATATACTGACCTAAACAATAAATCTATGTATATGAATAAAATAAACAGATGCCACTTAGGTCAGATTGATGAGCTCTTTCTTCAACTGCTTTATGACTTGTGTGCATGTAACGCTTCATCAGTCTCTGCCCTAGCCCCTGAAACAAAGCAGCAGCGGGTGATGGGGATCTTTGAGTCTGACACCTTCACGTATCATCATAGACACATACAAATTCTGGGAAATCCAAAATCTCGAACCGTGACAAATCTGGAACGGGATCAAATACCACAGATCTATTTATCTCTCCATCTATTGGTCAACAGCTCGGGTTGGATCATAGCGCCCCCTGTTGACTGTCAGTGTCAATTAGAAATGGTTGAAACAATTTTGGCGAGCGCCCCCAGGCTTGCCATATCTTTGTCTGTCAGGAACCCTCATCAAGTGGAAACCCGAGAGGTATAATGATTACTGGAAGCCTTCTCCTACATGTTCTGGTCATGTTCAATAAAGGTTTCAACACATTTCAAAAACTCGTACTGGCTCAAGTCTACATTGACATTGAGACAAGGCTTGGTGCCAGCGCTTAGGAGAGGAGACTTTGGCACAACCCCAACAGGACATAGTGAATGGATTTGCTAGTTGCCACGTCTTTCAAAATGGTCATGTTGGTATTTCGTTACTTTTTGGAACTGTCGTATAATGATTAAAAAGAAAAATGTATTTGTTCTCAATACGTGGTAGTTACAAAAAAAATGCAGTATGTTGTACCTACTCTGCTGAGTGATGATAAGTCTCTCTCCCAGAACCTGGTGAATAGATATAATAGGAGTTCAACTTAGTTCTTGGATAATATTTCAAATCTAGATTGCCTCAACATAGATTGTTCAGGGCTCCATCTGGAGTGTTTTCTGTTGATAAATATTTTTTGATGAAATAACTTTATTTCAGGGACTTAATGTCAATCTAATTATCTTGATATGACCATGCCTTCTATAAACGTTTCTATGATGTCAAAATAGCGAAAGATCCATGATGTGTAAGTCCATGTTATACATCGCGAACATGAGCACGAAAGTTCCTTGCAACGTCATTTCACCTTGTGGAATAATCGACTAGTTGATTGTAGAACAATGCGTTTACAATTCTCAATTGCTTTGTTACCTTCGAGCATGTGTATTATTTTCCAGTTTCACAAATAAACATTTCCTCACAGCTAAGATTATTAATCATAGTTTTAACCAGAAGCCTGGTTTAGTCATTCCAGACATTTTTTGAATTACAATCAGTGAAATTTACTAAATATGACACGTGGCTTGTCAACGCCTTCCGCGATGCTATCCCATGCTACGATCTTTACATGGAGTTTACCCACCTCCTTACTCAAATGAGACACATGTTTTTATGTAAATTGCTTGAGTGACGGGCTCTACCGGTACACATGCTTACCCTTTTCGAGAACACCTGGTGTTTTCTGGAACCCATTAATATAATTCCATCACTATTTAACCTTTTACGCTTATGGAATTTGTTTCGACAGATATTGAGACTGATCGTTCTTGTTGACGTTTTGAATTTACGGGTTAGTTCATAAAAGTCAGTGAACATTTCTAACATATACAGAGCACATATTGTGCCAATATAATCAGCTAAGAAGCGTCAATAAACAGTGGATACTGAGTGTCAGTGTATGTTTAAACACCCGCTTCTAAGTAAGCATAACATACAGACGTGTTTTCGGTATATGTGTTATTACATTAACACATCTTACATGTATCTGATCGGGTATAGCAGCACTGGTGTGATTTCGCTGCCAATACAAATTTGTGGTTGTGTTAATAGAAGTAATATGTAAATATGGATATATTTTTCAATTATCATAAATATATTGAACCTTTGATAGGGATATTTTTGTATTGTATTTCAACGAAACTGATATTTGATGTCTTGATGACTGGATGCTGTTGTCGATATGGATCGACAGTTGAATCGTGTGGTGATTAAGACACGGAGAGCCATGCAATGTTAGATGCCTTACTTTACGAGTCCAGGTTCGAATCAACGAGTCGATTTGATAATTGTTCCACGACTGTATAAATGTCTGCGACTTGCATCACTTCAGGTTGTCCTGCCACAAACGACCAAGTTGTTTATAAATTTAAACAAAACAATATTGAAATTTCTGGGGCCTTTCTACACGCAGCCCGTTTCCTGGCTTGGTTCAAAGGGGCGCCGAGGCCACGTACGACGCCGATTGGTGTCTGTGTGGAGAGACAATCGTTGGTCCCCAAGACCCTAGGGGATAATTAACAAAATGAAGTCCACTCAAATCTAGAATGATTTGGCATTTCATTAAATATATTGGGAGGTTATTTGACTTTTCAAATTTGTGCCATACTTATTGTAGATAAAATAACTATATTTTCGGAAAAAATGTTTGTCTACGCAGATAGATACATAAAACAAACTTATTATTGGTGTCGTGCCTCGCTCCATCCATGAAAGTTGTCAGTTCATCGATTTAGTGATGCTAAAGTTTAAATTTCCCGCCCCATATGTGTAACAAAACAACATTTATTTATCCCTATTCAGTGATTAAGATATGAGACGAGTGAGTGAGTGAGTATGGTTTTACGCCGCTTTTAGCAATATTCCAGCAATATCACGGCGGAGGACACCAGAAATGGGCTTTACACATTGTACCCATGTGGGGAATCGAACCAGGGTCTTCAGCGTGACGAACGAACGCTTTAACCACTAGACTACCCCACTGCCCCGATATATGAGACGAAGTTGTCCTGGCAAAATGAAAGAATGAATGAATGAATGAAGACCACACTTTTACAATTAATTAGATGATGACAGTTAACATTAATAATGCTGGTAAATTATGAAAGTTAAATAAGCTGATTAGTATTAAGTTCACATTGATTGGCCTCACTCCACGTGTGGGTGTTGGCCCAATTAACACTACCATGCCGCTTTTAAGTTTTCTTATAAGACGTTCGACACATCATCCTTCGCCACACGTAAGCTTTGTTTCCTCAGCTGGAGTTTAATTGGATCTAAAGGAAATATTGGTTCCAAAACCCAGACACGTTTGTGACACATTTCCCGTAAGCCAATAAACCAATGGTGCCAAGTTTTTATCGCCCCACTCCCCTTTCGGTACTTTTTCCAATCCGATTTTTCTGTTTTCCTTTCAGTAAGGAGATCTCGCGTGATGTGAACTTACGTAAGGCAATATGGAGTGTCAGCGCCTGCTTTACAAATCCTCACTTCCGTACTGCCAACCTGGTGACTTGTTACAAGTGGATTATGGGAATCGCAATTGGCTCCCCGCTGGTTATACTGCTCTCCGACCACTGCTCGTAATTAATGATGGGCGTTAAACGTGTTGGGGATTACGAATAGGTGTTTATTGCCATCATTTGTAACATTGGCGTGGTTGCTCCGAATGACAGGTGTTTCAATGACCAGTGCGGAGATTTCGTCCTGAATTTGACTTCATTTTGACGAAGCTGGTTTAGTAAGACACATGTTGAGACACACGTAAATATCCATTTTTCAGGTTGTTGAATCTGTTTCTACCACAAATGGCATTGTTTTATGCATTTTAACGGGGTGTGCGTATGTACGATATCATCAATGTATCCAGGCTGGTTATCGGACAAAGTGAGTTTGCAGAAAGCGGACATTGCAAGCAGGTCTGGGTGAAAAAGAGGACACAGGAGGGATTTGTTAAATTAGATCGACAAAACTGCTTCTCTGGAGTTATTCTGTTTATTCTGTTGACTATATCCTGAGCATGACTTTATAAATAACTATCAAATCGTGATAGTACCACGTGTTCGCGAAAAGGTGAGCGTATCCTGTCCCACCGATGACATCCGTCGTGAACTGAACTGTTTACCTGAAACAGAAACACGAGCATTTCACTTCTTCTATGAGTACAGTGTATTGTCGAACATGACAGTTTGAGGTGGTTTTAAGGATCGGTTAGTATTTCACAAGGGATGGGGAAGTTAAATATATGTGACCATCCTAAAATTACGTTTTTGTGACACCTGTCAGCTGTTTGCTGGAATCCTCAGGTTCGTGACCCCTAAAATGAATGTTTTATTCTGAAACAACTGTACAATCCTAGTCGCTATCAACACTAGCTGATATCTGCAATTCCCAACGAGTCGACCATGGTACACATTTCTAATTGTACCCACTGCATGTCTCCAAAACGAATACTACAAACATTTAGAAATATCAGTTGTACAGAAACTGTTCCTCGCTTCATGATGATCCCAAGGGGATGCCCACCAGTATCGAGCCTGTAGTGCATCACGGGATTTTAAGCATTTACCTTTGAACATCCGGGTTAGAATTGGTCTTCAGCAAATCATGCTTGTCGTAAGAGGCGACACCCGGGTCAGGCTCGCTGGCTTGGTTGACACATGTCTTTGCATCCCAATTGCGTAGATCGATGCTCATGTTGTTGATCACTGGATTGTCTGGTCCAGACTCGATTATTTACAGACCGAAGCCATATAGCTGGAATATTGCTGAGTGCGGCGTAAAACACCAAACCAACCAACATTCCTTAATATAAACTGCCAGACAAAAGAAAAGAAAACATAAATCCATGTTTGATGGTGACTGTTAATAATATAACCAAGAAATGGTTATTCGATGATGATGCATGTGATACTGGTGTCATAGGTGTTCTTTGGTCCGTAAGTTTGGAGTGTTTCGGAGACAACAACGGTTGTAATCCATTGGTCAATTTTCAAGAGCATGCCTTGTTTTGCTTTCTTTACTGGCTTATATTATACGGTTAGGTAGGATGATCTAAAACATGTGGGAGTTGGAGACAAATACTGGCAGCTAAGCGGATATTTAAGCGAATGATATTTCTGACTTACGAATGAAAGTTGTGCCCCAAAAGATGAATAGTTTATCAGCTTTATGGTATATTGGTCCAATTTACATACCAAAGGACCAATCAGATGATGCATGTATCCTACTCGTACACTACAATCTGCATCCGACACTGACTGACTGTGTTTGGTTTTACGCCGCCAACGAGTCGACCATGCATGGGTACACATTTCTAATTGTACCCACTGCATATCTCCAAAACGAATACGGGGTTGTAAAGAAACTGTTCCTCGCTTCATGATGATCCCAAGGGGATGCTTCACACATAGTAGCCTGTAGTGCATCACGGGATTTTAAGCATTTACCTTTGAAGATCCGGGTTAGAATTGGTCTTCAACAAATCATGCTTGTCGTAAGAGGCGACACCCGGGTCTGTCTTGGTTGACACATGTCTTTGCATCCCACCAAACCAACCAACATTCCTTAATATAAACTGCCAGACAAAAGAAAATTCATGTGTTTGATGGTGGCTGTTAATAATATAACCAAGAAATGGTTATTCGATGATGATGCATGTGATACTGGTGTCATAGGTGTTCTTTGGTCCGTAAGTTTGGAGTGTTTCGGAGACAACAACGGTTGTAATTGTCAATTTTCAAGCATGCCTTGTTTTGCTTTCTTTTACTGGCTTATATTATACGGTTAGGTAGGATGATCTAAAACATGTGGGAGTTGGAGACAAATACTGGCAGCTAAGCGGATATTTAAGCGAATGATATTTCTGACTTACGAATGAAAGTTGTGCCCCAAAAGATGAATAGTGTATCAGCTTTATGGTATATGGGTCCAATTTACATACCAAAGGACCAAACAGATGATGCATGTATCCTACTCGTACACTACAATCTGCATCCGACTGACTGACTGACTGTGTTTGGTTTTACGCCGCTTTAAGCAATATTCAAGCAACATTACGGCGGGGACACCAGAAATGGAAGCTTCACACATAGTACCCATGTGGGGATTCAACCCGGTCTTCGGCGTGACGAGCCAACGCTTTAACCATTAGGCTACCCACCGCCCCATCTGCATCCGCAATGGCGTAGTTGGTCCGTGAACTTAGTCGTGTTATAACCGACATATCAAGTAGTTTTGTGTGGGGACTCGATGCTGTTTAAACTCTGTGGCTTTTGGTGGATACCTTTTGGTATGGGTTTTGTGAGGATTGGTTTTGTTGGCGATAAACGGGGCGGATATTGGTTTATTAGGTTAGGGTGAGAGTGGACGTGTTAGGGTTGGTTTTGTTGGGGTTGAAGAGGACGCTTGAGGTTTGGTTTTTGAGGGTTGGTACAAACGAAAAATTCTTAGTTAAAGTTGATGTCAAGCATCTGTAGATTTCACAACTAGTACATTCACAGACTTTAGAAACCGAATATATATTCACTAGAAAAGCATCTGGAATTATACATTAGTAACTTTAAAAAATAAAAATATAAATAACCTATTATAATAAATTTTTATTCATATACATGTATAGATGATCGAACGAACGACAAAACAATGAAAAATAAAAATAAAGTAAGACATGAAATGTGGGGGCACCTGATAGAACATTGCAATGAAGTAAATCAGCCTTATTGGGAGAAATGGCCTGGGTAACTGGACATTTTCATTGGCTAACATTCTTTCCCTGACAAACTTACACCTTTCGATCACTGATTTACAGTGATCCATTCATGTAATTATCTCCATCTGTATGCCTTTTAGACCAATTAAATCTACTTTATATTCTGTATTTTTCGGTTTCCCTGTTTCATGTTTTTTATGCTTTTCACCTGATCCATTAGTCATGAACAAAGGGTTCTATTTCGTTGCATGAAAGCTGACTGACTGAGTGACTGAGTTTGGTTTTTACGCCGCTTTTAGCAATATTCCAGCAACATCACGGCGGGGGACACCAGAAATGGGTTTCACACATTGTACCCATGTGGGGATTCGAACCTGGGAAAGCGACAAACACCCTTCCACATCATTAATAAATCTCTGCTGGAGCAGAGTCCATTGCTGGGTTCGAACTATACCATGAGCAATTGTATATGAATCATGATCAAGTAAAGACTATACCAGGAACAAGAATATTTTGTTTGTACATTAATTTTATCCTAATATATTGTGACTACATTTTGCTTAACAAATCTAATCAATTTTTCTGCCTGTTGAAAAGGTTTTTTAAGGAATGACAAAAGTCAGGAAAATACCTACAAGTAAGAGGAACGTTTTGTTGATATATTGCTTATACCCTAATATATTGTGACTACTTTTGTACAGCAAATCTAATCTATTCTGCCTGTTGAAACGTTGACAAAATGACAAAAGTCAGGAAAATACCTACAAATATACCTGGACCTTGTATGTCAATAACATACAGGCACGTGTGACATGCTCAACCATGCAGCAAAGACAATGAAAGTGTATCTTGCTCTATTTACATCCCCAACAAGCTCCTATTGACATAAAGAATTTATTTCACATGTACGTGTGGTTGTATGTTTGTTTCCTCTACATAAACATGTATAAATAAACACCTTCTCTCTATTTGCAAACAACACAATATTCGCCTCGGCGCCGTCCGTGCATACGTTTAACATGGATTGGAATAAGGCAAAAACGATGCACGCCTTCCGGAGTACGACTTACAATGCCTCGTGTAACACTGACATAGACCCAAATAGAGGGGTTGGCATAAGCAGGTACCATATGGCTCGCACATGTGTCAAAGCCTTGTATGATTGAATGAAAACTAAGACAGAACCCCTTGAGGAGGGCAGAAAGTTCGTTGGAGTGAAATAACCTTTGTATTGTGTTGAGGACCACCATGACGAATTGGCATGTCATTCACCATTCTGAAAGAATATGAAAACATGGAATAAGTTTTAACGAAACATATTATTATACTTCATACATATTTGTGTGTTGTTTTGTTGTTGTAAGAAACATATTTTAAGTATGATTTAAAATCCTGATGTGTGTTAAAGTTATTTTGCGTTTGATATTGATTGCAATTATATGGGTATATCAACTAGGTTTGATAAATCACAAATTAATATAAATTAAATATAAATAAAAATATATACTGCCATTATATTGAAAAGCAAACCAGAAAATTGTTAACAAATAAAGACAAATAATGCATCGTGCACCTCAGCAAAATTACTAATATATAAACATATATTATTATACCGGTATTCCATGGCAGACCATGTACGAGGTTGTCCTCTAGTTTAGCAAGAATAATTATATCATCACATCGGATCCATGTAAACTAAACCCCGGGCAGGTTGTCCTGAAAAGCTGAAAACAGTCGCTCAAACTCTTAGCTATGACACCCGAAATACATTATATTGAATTGATATGCATGTCAGCATCGGATCCACAATGCACTACTTTCTAAACCCCGGCATACGAACTAGTACACAGTTTACAACTGAAAAGCTGAAAACAGTCGCTCAAACTCTGAAAACGTAAGCTATGACACCCGCCTCAAATACATCACCATATGCATTGAATTGATATGCCATCACAGTTCAACTAGGAGTTGTACAATGTAACAGTAAAATGAAAATCTAGTGCATGTTCACTTTCGAATGTTGATCAAGTACATTATCACGGGAGAATGTAAATCTAGTACATTATCACGGTAGAATGTAAATCTAGTACATTATCACGGGAGAATGTAAATCTAGTACATTATCACGGTAGAATGTAAATCTAGTACATTATCACGGGAGAATGTAAATCTAGTACATTATCACGGGAGTACATTATCACGGGAGAATGTAAATCTAGTATCACGGGAGAATATTATCTAGTACACGGTAGAATGTAAATCTAGTACATTATCACGGGAGAATGTAAATCTAGTACATTATCACGGTAGAATGTAAATCTAGTACATTATCACGGGAGAATGTAAATCTAGTACATTATCACGGGAGAATGTAAATCTAGTACATTATCACGGTAGAATGTAAATTCTAGTACATTATCACGGGAGAATGTGAATCTAGTACATTATCACGGGAGAATGTAAATCTAGTACATTATCACGGGAGAATGTAAATCTAGTACATTATCACGGGAGAATGTAAATCTAGTACATTATCACGGGAGAATGTAAATCTGGTACATTATCACGGGAGAATGTAAATCTAGTACATTATCACGGGAGAATGTAAATCTATACTACATTATCACGGGAGAATGTAAATCTAGTACATTATCACGGGAGAATGTAAATCTAGTACATTATCACGGGAGAATGTAAATCTAGTACATTATCACGGGAGAATGTAAATCTAGTACATTATCACGGGAGAATGTAAATCTATAGTACATTATCACGGGCTTATGTAAATCTAGTACATTATCACGAGTGAATGTAAATCTAGTACATTATCACGGGAGAATGTAAATCTAGTACATTATCATGGTAGAATGTAAATCTAGTACATTATCATGGTAGAATGTAAATCTAGTACATTATCACGGGAGAATGTAAATCTATAGTACATTATCACGGGAGAATGAAAATCTATAGTACATTATCACGGGAGAATGTAAATCTAGTGCACAATAATAGTAAAATGTAAATCTAGTACATTATAACAGTAGAATGTAAATCTAGAGCAATATAACCGCAAAATGTAAATATAGTAAATATACTATAATATCGCAGCAGAATGTAATTCTGGAGCAATATAACCCACAATGTAAATATAGAATAATATCACATTAGAATGTAAATTCAGTGCAACATAACTGTAAAATGTAAATAAAACTACTGTATTTATTGTTGTTTTGGCGTCGAATTTGTAATCAATGAATTATTTAGTAACCAAGTAATTTACTACCATACATAACGGATTTGTATATTTTTAAAAGTTGCATTCAGCAATATTCAAACCAAATTTATATGACGGCGGTATGTAAAAAATCAAGTCAAGACAATCAGTGATCAACAGCACAAACATAGATCTATTCAATTGGGAGATCAACCAAGTCTGATCACCCGATCCATTAATTCGCTCTTTCGAAAAATGAAAAATAACCGCGTTATGTTTTTAGACTATTAAACGATTTCGTGAATGTATTTGCAAAACATCTATCACTACTGCAATCAACTATAATGGACTGATGTGTACATATACGTGAGAAACAAACTATAATGGACTGATGTGTACATATACGTGAGAAACAAACTATAATGGACTGATGTGTACATATACGTGAGAAACAAACTATAATGGACTGATGTGTACATATACGTCAGAAACAAACTATAATGGACTGATGTGTACATATACGTGAGAAACAAACTATAATGGACTGAGGTGTACATATACGTGAGAAACAAACTATAATGGACTGATGTGTACATATACGTGAGAAACAAACTATAATGGACTGATGTGTACATATACGTGAGAAACAAACTATAATGGACTGAGGTGTACATATACGTGAGAAACAAACTATAATGGACTGTGAGTGAAACAAACTATAATGGACTGAGGTGTACATATACGTGAGAAACAAACTATAATGGACTGATGTGTACATATACGTCAGAAACAAACTACATGTATAATACATATACATAAACATGTACGTGAGAAACAAACTATAATGGACTGAGGTGTACATATACGTGAGAAACAAACTATAATGGACTGAGGTGTACATATACGTGAGAAACAAACTATAATGGACTGAGGTGTACATATACGTGAGAAACAAACTATAATGGACTGATGTGTACATATACGTGAGAAACAAACTATAATGGACTGATGTGTACATATACGTGAGAAACAAACTAATCCATGCTTCGATTTCATAATGCGTATGCGTACTGAGTTCAATCCATGTCAACCGAAATCCATCAGTTGGGTTAATCAGATCAAGATTCGGATATTACGAAGTTAGTTAAGATCCTTGAGATGCTATGTCGAACGTGGTATTGTCTGTAACACCAACAGTAGCGTCTTTCTACTTTGTATTATAGCAGATATGTGATTATTAGTATACATAATGTTTGTTATAGTTTGGTAAATAGGATAATCATATATGTGGTCGTGTCACACAATATCGGGGGCGGTGGGGTAGCCTAGTGGTTAAAGCGTTCGCTCGTCACGCCGAAGACCTGGGTTCGATTCCCCATATGGGTACAATGTGTGAAACTCATTTGTGGTGTTCCCCGCCGTTATATTGCTAAAATATTGCTAAAAGCGGCGTAAAACCAAACTCACTCACTCACTCACCCACTCACAAGTAACGTGGCGTCAGGAGAACTTTTGACTTGGCTTTGCATGTATATGTGACGGGTGACTTCGGCGGGACATAAGACGCTATTTGTTCGGGAACACATATTACCATCACCATGGAGATTCATAAACACATACTCATGATATACAGTTGTCGGAATCTTGCAGTTGATTCTTTATATATCAAGTCGTTTTCCTTATAAGGCAGTCAAATGACTTGTACACTCAACATTACGATTTCAAATAACGATACATTACTACATAAATCTAAGACGCTCATATTAAAGTCAATAAAATATATGGAATCATCTCTAAGTTAAAACACACTCACACACACACACACCAACTGTCAGGTTCCTTGAGCATCTGTTGTGAAGGGCGTTGAAGGAACCTATCACGTGACGTCACCTGAGTCGTTATCGTATGACGTCACACTATCAACCCGGATCTCTCACGTTCCTGTTTATATCTCAAAGTTTCACGGTTCACAAGCGGAGTCCTCCATCCCGAGAAAGCAGAGAGACTATAGCGGTGCTTTGGGGAGATCCTTTTACCCATCCTCATCTCATGTGTCCCTTTTTTAGCTGTTTCCCAGTTATTGGAAAAACAATGAATCTGTTTATCACCTGAAGGATCTTAGGATAATGCATCAGAAATTGGTACTGGTTCGCAGGGGCAATATCAGATACCATATAGTAAACATAAATACTATTCCCTATGGGTTGTCGTCTCCAAGTACTGTGTTTTAACCATGTGTTTTTTCTCTCCTTGTTCATATAATGTTTTAATGAAGTAAAATACAAGTTGCACGTACTCCCTTTGTCGGTGCCCAAAAAAGTGGGTGACTACGAGCACGCGCTCACTTGAGCAAGTGTTTTCTGTAAAACAAAATTATTTTTGGTGGTAAGTGAAAGATCCAGTGTCATGTCACCTCGAGAACTCTCATCGTGATATCTAATTGTTTCTCATGTTTTGGGACATCAGAAAATATATTTTTGTGTGATAAGTGATAGGCCCAGAATCACATCACCTCGAGAAAGCTCACAGTGATATGTAATTGTTTCTCATTGTTTATGGCACGTGCCATCGTTGGATATCGTTTGCTGACCTTTACTCGAACACCTGGTAAAATACCTACAGTCAAACACTGTTGTGTCGAGGTTAAAGGAACCTACTTCGAGTTATCCGAGATTCGACACAACGGCACAATGATGGGTAAGTAAGGAACCCGCAATTATTTTTCCCACTTTTCTATTTTTGACGTTTCACTACAAATTATGTCATTTCGTGTTTGAAAATGGAGAAATATTGAAAATATCCTAAAGTGTGCTGATTTGGGTTAATTTCAACCATGAACAGTTCTAAAGAGCAAATATCTACTTCGCTTAAATTATCCCTTTAGCCTTCTCTGGAAGAATATTGAAAATTTATAAAAGAACTTATACTAAGAAATTAGGCAATTATATCGCTCAACCACTGCTTACATAATAGTAATGAAATATTTCTATGGACAAATATTGAGTGCATTGTTATTATGTTCCTCTTTGCACAAAATAGATTCTGTTACAGTGGTTAAGCGT